CAGCTCGGCCACAGGTCTGGAAGCAGTTTCACGGAACCTGCTGGGCTGGGCCACTGTGCTAATCACTTCCTGCAGGCAGCCTCTGCTCACTCACTAATGGGTCTTAATAAAAACTTCCAATTGGGCCAGTAAACCCCTCATTAAGCTGTTTTTAAAGCATGAATTTAAGAGCGGCAAGGGTGAAGGGTCACATGGAGCATTTAATTCACAACGGCTGGCAGGAGGTGCTGCCGTGAGGGGAAACACCCAGGTTCGAGTGTCCCAGCCATGTAAACATCCCACGCAGCCCAGGGCCTGCCAAGGACAGCCTGACAGAAGAGGGAACTCTCTACTTGGCAAGAACAAAGCTCCCCAAATTATTAAGAGCTGCATCCACTTGGAAAGACGACAGCTATGGGAGCAAAGGACAGAATTCACAAGATTATCTATGGGTACCATTCTTGCAATGCAGCCTGGGCCCTCCTGGGCTGCATGAGAGCCGTGGTTATTGACATGCCCATAGGCTTCCTGCAGACACCTGGTCTCTCTCCCCTGCAGCTCACCCACTGGCGTGCAGCTTTCTTGGGTCACATGCCTTAGAGGTGTCCCCAAACTCCTGCTGTGCTTACAGCTAATGGGCTCTGTGTGCTCCAAGGCAGATGCCTCTGTGGCTCCCTGTGCCTGGACACTGTGCCCAGGCAGCTGACATAGCAGAACTTCTGTCCTTGTCCTCATCAGCTGAGGACAAACTAATCACTTATCAGTGCGGCTTCTTGCTGAAAGGAGCAACCCAGACTCATTCAAACGTAGTGTTCAGTTCCTATCCTGACTGTCTTGCACTGAACGCGGAAGGCATGGGGTCTTCTAGAATCTTTTTCTGAGTCGCAGGGACCGTCACGCCTGGGATATCCTTAGACTACTAGACATGTGCTGCCCTGAGAGGTGGTGGGGGACCCAGGCTTCTTGTACCCCCAATCCTGATGGGATCTCCTGAGGCCCAGGGCTCTCACCATACTACCCTCACACAGCATCTTGGTCCCCCTTTCTTACAGTCACCAGAGACAGTGTGGCCTGGAGACACTGAGACCAAACCCAGTGTCCCAAGGGGCCTAGGCAGAGAGAGCAGGAAGTGTGGCCTACACTGTCTGGGCATCACTGGGAAGTCAAGGCCTACCCCCATTCACCTATCTTGGTCTGGAAGACCTTGAAGTATGGCCCGAGAGCCAAGCGGGAGGAAGCTGCGCTACTTGGCTGGAGTCTATCATGCAGTCATCTCACAGGCTCGCCCCAGTCTTGTCTGCAGGCGGTTCCTGTAACAGGACACTCACAAGCCTCTCTTTTCCCATCATGCCTTGGACTTAGAGCAGTCATACTGTTGCTGCTCCCTGCCCCCCAGCCCAGGCCTAGAGGGAGTCAGTCTGGGAATAAACCTGAAGAAACCCTAAGGATAGGACACAGGACTCAAGTCCCAGAGACAAGATGGAAGTCCTCTCTATATAAACCCTTTCACACTGAGCACAGAGCTTGGTATGGCCTGGACCCCAGGGTAGACAGTGGCCACACTAGGGACAGCGGCTGAGCTGGAGATATGGGTCATGCTGAGAGATGGTCATCAGGCTGGGGACTGCATGTGCTGGGATGGCACCTGCCAAGAGCAGCCCTGTTCTTCAGGAAATCACAGGACAGGGTGAGTTCCAGAAGGCCAGGCGAAGGGGCATGAGGAAGCACAGTCCACTGGGACAGAAGTAGCCTCCATCCGTAGGGCGCAGGCTTAAAGCCTTTCCTAACTCAGTCTTTGATCTGCATGCTGCCGAGGCAAGCTGAAAGCAGTGAAGAGTACGGAGCAGATGACCAATGGTATGGGCTCCCTGTGACCCAAAGAACTGCGCCAACATATACCCTGAGCTACTCAGCAACCATATCTATCCAGAAATGGGAGTCTGGTACTGAGGTAGTGGCAGGTGATGGAGCAGAATCCAAAGTTTCCACAACTAAAGGGGGCCTCTTAAAGAGATAGCCAAAAATTGCTAATAAAAAACGAGTATTTTCGGGAATTGTACTGTCTGAGATGAAGGAAGGCACTAGAAACGGGACCTCACTGTCTGGGCTCCTTAGCCAGAATCTGCCACTGCCACTGGCAATGTGGGCAGAAGAGGCCAGGCCCCCACATCTCTGGCCAAAGAGGCACTGCTCCCCTTGCCCAGGAACAGGGTGCCCAAAGCCCTTTGCTGGCTGAATGGGTGTCCTCCATGAAGCCCTGGCCAAAGACCCTTCTAGAGTTCATGCCTTTCAGTACCACAGATATTCCAAGCACTCCATGGGAGGCTGATGCAGCTAAAGGATGGGCATTTGTACTGATTCAATTATAACTAATATAATAAATTCATGTTAATCCAGGCACAGTGGGAGAGTGAAGTGGGAGGACAAAGAGTTTGAACACAATATGGCACACATAGTAAGACTCCTACCTTGAAGTGAATAAATGAACAAATACAGACTTAACGCACACGGAGAGATGGGACTCCAGAAGGGCATTTCAAGCCACCATTCAGGTAACAAAGGCCCACAGAGACCTACGAGCAGCTCCACATTGGGGCTCCTTGTAAGACGGAGATGACTGATAGAATTAAAAACACACAGCTAGGATGGTGAGTGCTGCTCACTGTGAGGTCTCTAGCTTGGGTGGGCAGCAACACAGGGCTGGAGAAGAGAAGCTTCCAGGAGAGTCTTTACTTTTATACATGTGGGTATTTTTCCCAGAATGTATGTCTGTGTACTATGTGTGTGCAGTGCCCATGGAGGCCAGAGGAGTGCAATGGAGCCTCTGGAACTGGGTTAGTGATGGTTGTGACTTTCCAAGCAGGTGCTGGGATTTGAACCCAGGTCCTCTGGAAGAGCAGCCAGAGTTCCTAACCACTGAGCCATCACTTCAGCCCCTCCAGAAAAGTCTAAACCCAGTGCATCAGATGCCTGCCCTGTGCTGCCTCCCCAAATGGGCCTTTGTTTTCTGGAACAGCAAAGGGGAAGATGGGAGACAGGGCTACAGTGATACCAAGGCTCCCAGGTCCCTGCATCAGGATGTAAAATGGAGGCTGCTGAGTGCCAGTGGGAAAGGCGACTGAGCAGCGGCTGTCTTCTAAGTTCCTGAAGTCACCACCTGGAGGTCTTCCACTGCTCAGCCTCCACAGCTGGCCAGATAGTGCTCCGAGGTCCTCCATATCTCACGTCCCCCAGGACTCTGGGGGTACCCCACTGCCCACACGGGCCTAACGCTAACCACGTGTGTGGAGCACCTGTTACTGCTCATCACGTCGGCCCTGTGACACAGCCTCAGCTCCAAGCAGCTGCTAGCAGTGAGCACCCAGCGTGCCTCAGACTTGATTTTTCCAGTAATTGCCAGAATCTTCTGTACCAAGGAGCAGGGATCCCATCTAGATAGAGGAGTCAGGGCCTCAAGGTTTCAATATTCATAACCGGAGAAAGTAATCTTGTTGCAGTTTCAGATAAGCAAAATTCACTAAGAAAAGAAGGTTTGTTCCCTGAAGCACTGGAGAACACAGGGTTCTCTGGAGGACTTTGATACAAGAAACAAGGCGCAGATACGAATGTCCTGGACCCATTGTGCGCTGGGCAGTCACACTGACACTGCCCGCAGCTGTGTGGGAAAGGCCCTATCAGCACATTGGAACAGCTTTGCCCTACACAGGTATCTGCCTACTCAGGGAACTAAAGATGAAGGGAAACATTTATAGGGGCAGCAGACATGCCCTCGTGTTTGCCCGTGGACCTCCCTTTTCAGTGCAGTGGGGAAAACTCAGTATGTGAGGCTAAGAGCACAGGAACTTGGTACTCAGGCCTCATGGCTGAAGCTACACAAGGTGAGCCCAGAGTGTGGGCCCAGATACACACACACAGCACAGAGGGGCTGAAGCTGGGCCAAGGTGCCTCCTGTGGGGTCCTTAGGCTACAGAACTGCAGGGCAGTAAAGGCACTCCTGTCCCTCCCCCTCCCCAGACCAGTTTCATCGTGTTCTGCGGCAGAACTTTAGAGTTTGGTCAACTGACAGACATAAGTTCCCAGATTCTTAGGCTTCTCTGCTACTTGGGGGCTGCCCGCTGCCACACTCCAGTGACTGTCACCTGGCATGGGCTGGGAGGATCTGAAATGCTTCTCTAGTCAGCAGCAGTGCCCTGGACAGTGCTCTCTACCCTGCCCTTTTCTGTGATGCACCGATGTGCACACACCGATGTGCAGGCCACAGGACACTATGAGACACACATGGAGAGGGACCTGCTGCACTTTTTCTAAGTGCCTTCTCTGGTCATCACTCTTCTCAGTGTCTCCATTATTTTTTTTTTTATCCTTTTGAGACAGGGTCTTACTACATAGTCTTGGGTGAACTGGAATTTGCTATGGAGACCAAGGTGTTCTCAAACTCATGGAGCTCTGCCTGCCTCTGTCTCCCTTGTGTTGGGATTATAAGCAGGTACTACCACAGCAGCCACTTTCCCCCAACATTTACTTATTTTTATTTTACGAGTATGAGTGTTTTGCTTGTATGCATTCTCTGTGTACCACATACATGCAGTGCCTGCAGAGGCTAGAAGACATTAGATCCCCTGTAACTGGAGTTAAAGGTGGTAGCTAGCTTCCATGTAGGTGCTGGAAACCGAACCCATCTCCTCCACAAAAACAGTAAGTGCACTTAACCTCTGAGCCATCTCTCCAGCCCCCAGCATCTCTATTATTATGGAGTGCAGGTGCTACAGGCACCCCAGGACCTCACCTGGAAGCCCCCAGTCCCAACCCACCCTAGCCAATTCCCTTCTCCTAGAGCAGACCTCCAGGCCTTGCCAGCCTGCTAACAAACTCTGTAACCACACCACACCCAGAGAGTCAGCAGGAATGAGATAGTAGCAAGTATTTCAACAGTGAGATAAGCCCCCCGAAATGCAGATATACATACCCCAACATACAAGGCAAGCCCTCGCAGGGTTTTTTTCTGCATGATTGTCACTTACCAAAAGAATACCTAAAACACACACAAAAAAGAAAAACATTAAAATGTTGGCTTGGTGTTATATGTTAAACTATCATGTTTATCCACAGAACGGAACCCACTTGTGAGCTCAGGGCAGCATGGGGCATGGAGCACTGCTGGGAGGACCTCCTGCCTCCAGGAGGACCAGCCATCAGGCACTGCATAGGCAATGCTGGGTGAGAGAAGATTCATTGACCAGCAAAAGACACTGTAGAGTGAGCAGATGCACAATTTGTTTTTTTCCTGCGTAAAAACTGATTGTGATTAATCACCACTGCAAATGTTCTACCCTAGGAGCCGAAGCTCAGGGGTGCCTTGACATAACCACTGGAAGAGGGGCTATGTCAAAGGAACGCAGCAGGTTCCTTTGCCCATTTCCGTTACTTTGAAGTCACACTGGACAGACGCTTGGTGCTCCGCCTCTGGAACCCTGAGCATCACACATGCCAGGTGTGGTGGTCTGAATGAGAATGGCCCCGCAGGCTTATATATTTGAATGTTTAGTCACTAGGGAGCAGAGATACTGGGAAGGATTATAAGGACTAGAAGGCATGGCCTTGCTGGAGAAACTGTCACTGGGGTTACTTGAGTAGGCTTTAAGGTTCCAAAGGCCCATGCCAGGTCAGTCTCTCACTCCCTGCCTATAAATCAGGATGTAGCTCTCAGCTATGTGCCACCAGGCTTCCCATCATAACGATATTGGCTAAACCACTGAAACTGTAAGCAGTTAAATGCCTTCTCTTAGAAGAGTTGCCATGGTCATGGCATGTCTTTACAGCAACAGAACAGTGACTGAGACACTAGGCAAGCACTCTACCACTGAGCGGCATCCCAGTGTCCCCAGGCCTGCCGTCATCTATATCAAACATGGACTCCTACTATATCGTGAAAGACATAGCAGTATAAACCACACATGATGAACCCTAAAACACCTTGCTGGGGTGGGGTGAAGCCAGACACAAAGCCACGCACTATGAGGCTTTGTTCACAGGAACTGCCTGGGGCATTTAAGCACCATGGGTGTAAGTGTGAAGCGAAGGGCTGTTGAAGGAGTGAGCTGTGGGCTAAGACACAGGGTTCTCTTGTGGTGATGAGAATGGTTCAAACTTCATGGCAAGATTTTTAGAATCCTGAATACACAAAACCACGGACTTGTAAAGTTTATTGTTTGTTTACTCCATTTTGAGTCAGTTTCGCTCTCTAGGCCAGGGTATACTGGAACTTCCTGTGCAGCTCTCCTGCCTGACCTGAGCCTCCCTAGTGCTGGGATTACAGCACATACTGCCATACTCAGCTTGACCTGTACACAATAAGTAGTTAAAGTTTACAGTGTATGAATTGCATCTCAATAAAGAGGAAAAACTGGATGGAATATGTGCAAATCAAAGGTAAGAGCCTGAAGCCGGGCGGTGGTGGCGCACGCCTTTAAACCCAGCACTCGGGAGGCAGAGGCAGGCGGATCTCTGGCAGTCTGAGGCCAGCCTGGTCTACAAGAGCTAGTTCCAGGACAGGCTCCAAAGCAACACAGAGAAACTCTGTCTTAAAACCACCTCCCCCCGCTCAAGAAAGAAAGAAAGAAAAAAAGAAAGAAAAAAAGAAAGAAAAAAAGAAAGAAGGAAGGAAGGAAGGAAGGAAAGAGCCTGAGATTTGCCATGGGGAGTGGGCCCATAACCTGGTGGTTCTGAAACTCTAACAATGATTCCCAGCCTGGGAGAGTACATATTGTTCTCTGATAAAATAATAATGCCGGGGGCTTGGTTGTATTTCTTTGTTTTACCAGATGCTGGAAGCAGTAGGAACATCCGTGAGCATGCTACCACATGTCCATAGAGGACATATTTACGTGAAGAGCACACTTGCTCGCTCATATTCACTGCTAACCCAAGAAATACCCTATGTGAGCAATGTCTCTGGACAAAGAACAGGAGAGGGTCATGGGTGAGGATGGAGAGATGGTTCATGGGTAAGAGCATGAGGACCTAAGTCAAAGCTGGGTGTGGCTTTGTGTGTCTATAACCCCAGCACTCTGAGACAGGTGGCTCCCAGGGTCTTGCTGGCCAGCCTAGCTGAGATGGTGGGGTGACAGTTCCATCTGGCCTTCCCACACCACTTTCTTAAGTTGCTTTTGTAAGGAGAAAAATAATTAATACAGGTAATAAGCCCCTCATCCACTTCCCACGTGTCCACAGAGACACTGATCTCCATGTCCACTGACTTCTCCAACATGCTCTTCTTTGGTCCATAATCTCTCTGGCCTTGGTGGTCCTATAAGCTCCATCAACACCTCTCGATCTAAAGGTCACCATCAGGGCAAGGTTTGAGCCATTGCCACAGTGTAGCATCTGGCATAGGCTGGCAAGACTCTTTTCCATAAGGGAAGAAGGGTAGTGTTTCAAAGTCAAGTTTCTCAAACTCCATGCTCCCTCTGGCTGCGCAATGCTTGCTGTCTCCATCTCTTCAAACCTCATGGCTCGAGTGAACCGGCAGCATGTTCTCAAGGGGATATATGTCTCCAGGCACAATCACACATTTTATTCCCCAGAGACGAAAGCCAGAGTTTGGTTGGGTGGTAAGAGCAACAACCTCTACCAAGGCCTAAGCGCTCAATAATGTACCCCGAACAAGTTCACCCTGGCACCTGAGTGGCCAGGACGTAGGTATAGATCCACAGGGCTAAGCAGCAGGCTCTACTTACCAGATCTGCCCTACGTTGACCAGGGACATGTAGAGGGCCCAGAGGGTAGCCATGAGGATCATGTTGGCACAGCCAGTCACCAGGACAAAAGAGGAGAGGCCCAGCCCCAGCAGAGCAAGAAGGTCCAGGTTGAAGTTCATGTTTGACCAGTCCAACAGCCACAGGACGGTTGGAGTGGAGCTCCAGGCATCCCAGCCAGCCCTGCCCTGGAAGTACTGCTGGACATTCTTCAGGTACAGTCTGCAGGGCAGCAGGCCCCGGTCACCGATGAGGGCCTTGTTCTGATTGAACGCCACCAAGAAGGCCACAACTGGAAGACAGACAAATGCAGTCGTGAGTAGGAAAAAAATCACGGCTCCATGGGCTCAGGGGACAAAGGCAGAACTGGGTTCCTGTGGGAAAAGGAAATGCCTCATTGGCCCTCAGGAGAAAGATTGACACAGGTAGGAATAGGCCCCAGGGACAAAGGGGACACAGGAAAGGACAGGCCCCCATTGGTACAGAAAGCCCCTCTGGGCTAATGGGATATAAAGAGGCTACAGTTCTATGGACATACGGTGTATACAAGGAAACGGCACCATAGATATGAGAGAACAAGGCCCATTTCTCTTTTTATCTTTTTTAAGTTTTTAATTTTTTTGTTTTTTAAAATTGTTTTTATTGTGCTATGTATTTTTATCTACTCCACTCCCTTCTTCCCCTCCCCCCTTCTAGCCTCTCCTGTGACTCCCATGCTCCCAATTTACTCAGGAGATCTTGTCTTTTCCTCCTTCCTATTTAGATCCATGTATGTCTCTCTTAAGGCCCTCTTTGTTGTCTAGGTTCTCTGGGGTTGTGAACTAACTGTACCTTGCTTTTTCTTTGCTTTATGTCTAAACGCCACTTATGAGTGAGTACATATTATATTTGTCTTTCTGGGTCTGGCTTACCTCACTCAATATGGTTTTTTCTAGATTCATCCATTTGCCTGCAAATTTCAAGATGCCATTACTTTTCACTGCTTTGTAGTACTCCATTGTGTAAATGTGCCACATTTTCTTTATCCATTCTTCGGTTGAGGGACATCTAGGTTGTTTCAGGTTCTGGCTATGACAAACAATGCTGCTATGAACAGAGCTGAGCACATGTCCTTGTGGTGTGATTGAGCATCCTTTGGGTATATACACAAAAGTGGTATTGCTGGGTCTTGAGGTAGATTGTTTCCTAATTATCTGAGAAATTGCTATACTAATCTCCAAAGCAGCTGTACCAGCTTGTACCCCCACTAGCAATGGAGGAGTGTTCCCTTTACTCCATATTCTCTCCAACATAAGCTATTATCAGTGTTTTTGATCTTGGCCATTCTGACAGGTATAAGATGGAATCTCAGAGTTGTTTTGATTTGCATTTTTCTGATGACTAAGGATGTTGAGCATTTCCCTAGGTGTCTTTCAGCCATTTGAGCTTTGTTTGTCATGAGTTCTCTGTTTAGGTCTGTACCCCATTTTTTTTTTTTATTGGAGCATTCTTTTGATGTCAAGTTTCTTGAGTTCTTTGTATATTCTGGAGATCAGTCCTCTATCCAATGTGAGGTGGGTGAAGATCTTCTCTCATTCTGTAGGCTGCGGTTCAGTTTCTCTCTTGCTGTGATAAACACTATGACCCAAAGAAACTTAAGGGAGGAAAGGACTTACTTTAGCTGATACCTCCAGGTCACCGGCCATCATGCAGGAACTCAAGCAGAAACAACGAAGGAACATTGCTTACTGGCTCACACTCAGCTAGCTTTCTAGTACAGCCCAGGACCACTTGCCTAGGGATGGTACCACCTCCAGCAGGCTGGGCCCTCCTAATCAAAGACAATGCCCCACAGCCATGCCCACAGTTCAGTCTAATGGAGCAATTCTTCAACTGAGATTACTTCTTTCCAGGGGACTTTAGGTTAAGTCAAACTGACAATAAAAACCAGGGCCTGACGCAACCAGGAAACGGCCCCATGGACTTAAGCAGATACAAGCAGGAACGGTTCTCATGGGCAAAGCATGTTTCCCACCGGAGGCAGCACACATGGTTTGGCACCTGTGTGGTTTGAATGAGAAATGTTCTCTATAATCTCAGGCATTGGAACACGTAGTTCCCAGTTTTGGGTGCCATTTAGGGAGTTCTAGGTGGCACAGCCTCGTTGGAGAAAGCATGCCACCAGGGAGGGGCTCTGAGATTTAAAGGCTCCCATATTTCCAGTTCACGCTCTCTGCTTCCGGCTTGTCACTGATAATGTGAACGCTCAGCTTCTTGTTCCTGCTGCCATGCCTGCCCTGTGCTGTCACGCCTCCCCACCACCATGGATTCTTATCTCTCTTCCTTCTCTAAGCTGCCTTGCTCACAATGTTTCATCACAGTGGAAAAGTAACACAGCACCCAAGCTTCACACAAGCCTCAGACACTCGCTCAGGATCTTGGGGGCTCTGGAAAAAGCATGCTGTGTGCACATATGTGTACTATGTCTGCTCTCACATGATTGACATTGCTTATGTAAGCCTGTGCCTGGTTATGTGTGAGCACTCGGGATTAGTCATCGTGGAATATCCTAGTGACCTGGCTCCATCAATAGCACTGCTTCCCAGGGCCAGCCGCTGTAACAGTCCAATCCAAGCTCAGACTTCTGAGTCATTTCTAGGATCCACCCTCTACAGGGCACTTTCACTTCTTGGGGTATCCTCATTGTGTGTGCCAAATATGTATGTTGGGTGGGGGGAGGGACAGAATGAAGAGACAATAGAAGAGGGAGTGAAATAAAGGCCACAGACAGGGAAGGAAGAAATGTCTTTATTAGCAAATGACGGTCTATGCAGGAAAACCAAAAGGCCCTACAAAAACAAGATAAAACTGGCAACTTTCAGAACTAATAAGTGAGTTTATCTAGATCATGGGATGGAACACAAGGTCAGAACAGAAGAGTCAACTGTTTCTTATGAACAAATAAAGAAGAGCTGGTTCTTCGAGAAAATCAGCTAAACAGACGAACCTTTATCCAAACTAACCAAATGGCAGAGAGAGAATATCCAAATTAATAAAACCAGAAATGAAAAGGGGAACATAACAACAGACACAGGAAATCCAGAGAATCATCAGGTCATACTTTAAAAACATGTACTACACAAAACTGGAAAACTTAAAGGAAATAGACAATTTTCTGGATAAGTATCACCAAAATTAAATCAAGACCAGATAAGCAAATTAAGTAGACTTATAACCACTAAGGAAATAGAAACAGTTATCAAAAGTCTCCCAACAAAATCCCAAAAATCCCAGGACCAGATGGTTTCAGTGCAGAATTCTACAAGATTTACAAAGAAGAACTAATACCAATACTCCTCAAATTGTTCCACACAATAGAAACAGAAGGGACATTGCCAAACTCCTTTTACAAAGTTATAGTTACCCTGACACCCAAACCACACTAAGACATTACTAACAAAGAGAATTACAGACCAATTACATCTCCCTCATGAACACTGATGCAAAAATATTCCATAAAATACTGGCAAACCAAATCCAAGAACACATCAGAAAAATCATCTACCATGACCGAGTAGGCTTCATCCCAGTGATTTATGGATGGTTCAATATACGAAAATCTGTCAATATAATCCACCATATAAACAAACTGGAAAAAAAAATACATGATCATCTCATTAGATGCTGGAAAAGCCTTTGACGAAATTCAACACCTGTTCGTGATAAAAGTCTTGGAGAGAGCAGGGATACAAGAAACATACCTAAACATAATAAAGGCAATATACAGCAAGCCAACAGACAACATCAAACTAAATGGAGAGAAGCTCAAAGCAATCCCTCTGAAATCAGGAAGAAAACAAGGTTGTCCACTCTCTCCATATCTATTAAATATATTTCTTGAGGTCCTAGCTAGAGCAATAAGACAACAAAAGGAGATCCAGGGGAAACAAATTGGAAAAGAAGAAGTCAAACTCACTATTTGCTGATGATATGATAGTATACATAAGTGACCCAAAAAATTCTACCAAGAAATCCCTATAGCTGAGGGCTGGAGAGATGGCTCAGTGGTTAAGAGCATTGCCTGCTCTTCCAAAGGTCCTGAGTTCAATTCCCGGCAACCACATGGTGGCTCACAACCATCTGGAATGAGGTCTGGTGCCCTCTTCTGGCCTGCAGACATACACACAGACAGAATATTGTATACATAATAAATAAATAAATATTTAAAAAAAAAGAAATCCCTTCAGCTGAAAAACACCTTCAGTAATATAGAAGGATATGAGATTAATATATATATATATATTAATATATATATATATCAGTAGTTCTCCTTTATACAGATGATAAACAGATTGAGAGAGAAATCAGAGAAACATCATCCTTCACAATAGCCACCAAAAAAAAAAAAAATCATAAAATATTTTTGGAGCCGGGCGGTGGTGGCGCACGCCTTTAATCCCAGCACTCGGGAGGCAGAGGCAGGCGGATCTCTGTGAGTTCGAGGCCAGCCTGGTCTACAAGAGCTAGTTCCAGGACAGGAACCAAAAGCTACGGAGAAACCCTGTCTCGAAAAATCAAAAAAAAAATATTTTTGGAAACTCTAACCAAACAAGCAAAAGACCTATATGACAAGAACTTTAAGTCTTTGAAGAAAGAAATTGAATTAGACACCAGAAAATGAGAAAGATCTCCCATGCTCTTGGGTAGGTAGAATAAATATAGTAAAAATGGCAATCTTACCAAAAGCAATTTTACAGATTCAACGCAATGCCCATCAAAATACCAGCAAAATTATTCAAAGACCTCGAAAGAACTGTACTCAATTTCATATGGAGGGAAAAATAAACAGGATAGCCAAAACAATCCTGTACAACAAAGGAACTTCTGGAGGCATCACAATCCCTGGCTTCAAACTCTACTACAGAGCTACAGTAATGAAAACAGCCAAGTTTTGACATAAAAACAGACAGGAGGACCAATGAAATTGAACCAAAACCCATATATCAATCCACAAACCTACAAATACCTGATTTTTGGCAAAGAAGCTAAAAATATAAAATGGAAAAAAAGAAAGCATATTCAACAAACAGTGCTGGTATAACTGGATATCAACATGTAGAAGAATACAATAGATCCGTATCTATCCCCCATGAACAGAACTCAAGTCCAAATGGATCAAAGACCTGAACATAAAACCAACCGCACTGAACCTCATAAAGAAAATAGGAAGTACACTTGAAAGTATTGGCACAGGAGACCACTTCCTAAATATAATACAGTAGCACAGACACAGAGAAACAATTAATAAATGGA